CACCAGTTGTGCTTCTGAGTGGACCACCAACCAGCACTCCTACAGGCGACCTGTGCAACTTTGGGCCTGACTTTCGCTGTCCCACTCTCAGGGGAGTCCGGAACTTAGCCGCAAGGGAAGCCCTCTCTCCCTTGGCCTCCATCACCAGGTACGTGATGCTGACGCTGGCATAGCAAGTAAGGGAAACCAGAAGTGAAGCCATGTGGCTTCACAGCCATTTTCTTACTGCTCTGCTCCTTGTGAATGGTCCCCGTAGTCTTCTGGGACCCGTGAACTGTGGGGGGGAAGGAGAGAAGCTTAATCCCCGACTGCGGCAAACTGAGCCAGAAGTGGGAGTAGGTACCTGTCAAAACAGGTACCTGTCCTCCTCTCCCCCCAAAAAAGGAGGGTGCAAGCAAGGGAAGCTTCCCTTTTGGGTGGAGCTCCGCTTCAACTCATAGTGTGCCTTTTTTGCAAAGTTACTGAATTCTTAGAATTCAGCTTTAATATTCTCAGCTGGGCCTGAACCGGATTCCCTGTCTTCCGTTCACCCTCAAAGGGGGACACAAAACTGGGGAGATGCTCTGATCTCTTCGACATTTCTGCTATGGACCACCAAGTTGTGTTTCACATTGTCTTTCCTTTTGTTGTAGATTGTACGTTGTCACAAGTGGCCTCCCCTGCGTGGGCTGCATCATTTGGAGTATGTAACAACCCTATACCTCTCAAAATTGCAATTAAAAAAATAAAAAAGAAGAGAAAATGCTCTGGGACTCAAGGGGGATATAGGGGAAAAAAAGGTCGAGACCCTCAAGGGGTTATCTGAAATGTGATCCGGATAGATCCAAGACATAGAACGAGGCCCTCAAGGACTGCAGTCCCCATCATGTCCACAAGGTAGCACTTATGTTGAGAGGCGCACACACAGGAAGTCTCTATGATTCCGACGGACAGGAAGTGGTGTCAGTATAAAAATAAAGTTCCGGGTGAGAGGTGAGTTGGGAGGAAGTAGACAGGAGACGTTCCTGGGACAGACGAGGAGGTAATAATGTGGAAACATAATAATATCACACTATATAAATTCATAAATATGTCTCATATCTATTTCCATTCCAAACACACGTATTGACATTTATTACATAATCAATACGTTGAGTTAGACCCAGTTTTGGAACACACCAATACATGCCCTACCTACTACATCTGGGTTTATCGGTGTTCTATGGATCTACCAGCTCTGGGAGCCAATTTACTGAGCGTCTGGAACCTGGAAACGATATAAAGAAGACTCCTCTGAATCCGCCATTGTGTAAATACATGGAGGAGGCCACATGTGACATCACTACTTATGACTGAAGAAGTCAAGCAGGACACATCAACCATCCAACACACTTACCGTCCAAGCTGTGTTGAGGGTTCCCAGTCATCCAGTAAGCTTGCTGCATTGTATACATCTTGGTTGATGTCTGAGGTGGGATGGGGTAGCTGAGATTAGTTTTGGAGGAGGTCAGCCGAGGTTGGAGGTGGCCAGGACTTCAGAGGGGGGTCCCCCAATGCTCTGTCATTGGATGTGTTCCATTCTCTCCACACCTCCTCCCAGGATGGTTAGCCACGGCTTCTAATACCACCTCTATGCTGAAGACACCCAAATCTATCTCTCCACTCCTTGACTTACCCTTCAGATTCCTCACCCATCACTACCTTACTATTTGACATGTCAGTCTGGATGTCTCACCACTTCCCCAAACTCAATCTTTTCAAAACAGAGCTCGTAATATTTCCTATGACTGCTGGATAGGAACACAAAGGGTTCAATGTAGTCTCCTGGTATTAGTATTACAGGGATTTTCAATGTTTAATGTTATCATTGAGAACTCGTCTGGTAGTGATAATCCTTTCCCCTGATGGAGATGATGTAATGAGGGAGTAGGAGAGTCCCGAGCTGGAGGACTTTGTAGAGTTTACACAAACATTGGTATTCTGTGTGAAAATCAGAGTGTGAAGCATGCTCGGCACTCCAGGGACTTTCTCTTTCTTCTGAAATTCTGAGATTTTAAATTGATATAAAAATTTCAGTTTATAGCCTTTGAAGAGGAGCATCCTGTATAGATGACATGACCACCTCAATGATGATGGACAAGGACTGCAATCACAGCATGGAGAACATATTAAACCTCACCCTGGAGATCATCTACCTGCTGACTGGAGAGGTGAGGAGGATTCTGGGAGGTCACATGACATCACTCTTATCTCTATTAATAAAACACAGACCTGACCGGAGTGGTAAGGAGGATTCTGGGAGGTCATATGACATCACTCATCTCTATTAATAAAACACAGACCTGATCAGAGAGGTGAGGAGGATTCTGGGAGGTCACAACATCACTCTTATCTCTATTAATAAAACAGACCTGACCAGAGAGGTGAGGAGGATTCTGGGAGGTCACATAACATCACTCTTATCTCTATTAATAAAACAGCCCTGACCAGAGAGGTGAGGAGGATTCTGGGAGGTCACATGACATCAAACAGACCTGACCGGAGAGGTGAGGAGGATTCTGGGAGGTCACATGACATCACACAGACCTGACCGGAGAGGTGAGGAGGATTCTGGGAGGTCACATGACATCACACAGACCTGACAGGAGAGGTGAGGAAGATTCTGGGAGGTCACATGACATCACACAGACCTGACCAGAGAGGTGAGGAGGATTCTGGGAGGTCACATGACATCACTCTGGTCTAGTCTGGCCAATAGACCATGTTCTTGTAGACATGTAGATGATGTCAGATGATTGATATCGGTTTTCTCTTTCTCCTGATCTGTAGGATTATGTTGTAGTGAAGAAGTCTAGTGGGGAGCAAATCTCAGGAGGATGGAGCAGGACCCAGAGCCCCACCATGGTGCCTCCCCCTCGTTCTCCGATACCTGAGAGGAACAAAGAGCAGAAGATCCTGGAACTGACCACCATGATGGTCCATCTGCTGACAGGAGAGGTGAGTGGTGCCTGGAATTCTGGGACATTCTCCAGTAACAGACAAGGGATGTGTCTGGATGGTGACTGTATCATTGTGTGTGTCAGGTTCCTATAAGGTGTCAGGGTGTCACTGTCTATTTCTCCATGGAGGAGTGGGAGTATTTAGAAGGACACAAGGACCTCTACAAGGACATCATGATGGACAATCAGCCGCCCCCCTCACATCACCGGGTAAGAGGAGACTTTATTGGAAAGGAGGGAGCAGCACAGAGGCTCCACCTATATCCCATATCATCTGATAAACACATAGAAACAATGTATTCAGTCAGTGTGTGTGTTTTCTACAGATGGATCCAGTCATGGGAACCCACCAGAGAGATGTCCCCGTCCTCTGTATTCCTGGGATTCCACACAGAAAGGTCACACCATCCCTCACCATCATCAGGTAGATGGATCCAGTCATGGGAACCCACCAGAGAGATGTCCCCATCCTCTGTATTCCCGGGATTCCACACAGGAAGCTCACCCCATCCTTCACTGTTACAAGGTTGGTGGGACGGAGTATCTAGAAAACAAAAGTGACACATGGTGATGATGTATGAAAGCTACAAGATGTTAAATTCTATTATTCTCTTGGTTTAGAGTGAAGATCTGACAGATATAAAAGTTGAGGTGAAATCAGAAGAAGAAGAGGCGTATGTGAGGGATGATCAGCAGTCTATGGAGGAGGATGGAATAACGAGGACATTTATAAAGGAGGACACTCCTACAGAGATCAGCACAGGTGGGTCATGAACACTAAATCCATTCCTCCACCCATACTGCTCACTGATTGGTCCAGATGATACATTTCTCATTGGATCTCTCCGTCTGACAAGAACCTGGAGCTCAGGAGGAACCATTCAACTTGTAAGCTCCTCAGAGACCAAGCTGCCTGATGTGGGCGGAGTCCTGGTTTGGGAGAACCAATCAGCTCCTGTCTAGTAATCCTCTTTGTCTTTGTATTTTAGTCCATGGCCGGGAGATGAGGAAAACCTCAGAGGATTGTCTCACTTTGTCTCCAGACTGGAAAGTAGAAGATAAGGACATCACACAGTATAGTCCAGGAGAAAACCCGGCTCCCTTCCAACATTGTCCAGGAGAAGACCCCACTATGTCCCAACATTGTCCAGGAGAAGACCCCACTATGTCCCAATCTTGTCCAGGAGAAGACCCCACTATGTCCCAATTTTGTCCAGGAGAAAACCCCACTATGTTCCAACATTGTCCAGGAGAAGACCCCACTATGTCCCAATATTGTTCAGGAGAAGACCCCACTATGTCCCAATATTGTCCAGGAGAAGACCCCACTATGTCCCTATATTGTCCAGGAGAAGACCTCACGATGTCCCAATTTTGTCCAGGAGAATACCCCACTATGTCCCAATATTGTCCAGGAGAAAACCCTTCAACCAAAAATTTCCATCCGGCACCAGCCAGTGTAGATGGGCCATCGTATTCCTCGTATCCTGAGGAACCTCAGAGTGTGCGGGTTCGGGCCGGCCTTCCAACAGGGAAGAGCTTCTCCTGCGCTGAGTGCGGGAAATGTTTCAGTTTTAAATGCAGTCTCAATGTGCATAAAAAATCTCACACAGGAGAAAAACAATATTCCTGTATAGAGTGCGGAAAATGTTTTGCACTAAAATCACAACTTGTCACACATCAAAGGCGTCACACAGGGGAAAAGCCATATTCTTGCCCTGAGTGCGGCAAATGTTTTTCACAGAAGTCACATCTTTACAAACATCTGAAATCTCACACGGGGGAGAAGCCATATTTCTGTACTGAGTGCGGGAAATGTTTTTCACAGAAGTTCAATCTTTCCACACATCAGAGATTGCACACAAGTGAGAAGCCGTACTGCTGTCCTGAGTGCAGGAAATGTTTTTCAGACAGGTCCAGTCTTTACAAACATCAGAGATTACACACGGGTGAAAAGCCATACGCATGTCCAGAGTGCGGGAAATGTTTTTCAGTGAAGTCCAATCTTTCCTCACACATCAGAGACTGCACACTGGAGAGAAGCCGTATTCCTGTCCTGAGTGCGGGAAATGTTTTTCACAGAAGTCCATTCTTTACAGACATCAGAGATCTCACACGGGGGAGAAGCCATTTTCCTGCCCTGAGTGCGGGAAATGTTTTTCAGAGAAGTCCATTCTTTACAGACATCAGAGATCTCACACAGGGGAGAAACCATTTTCTTGTCCTGAGTGCGGGAAATGTTTTTCACAGAAGTCCATTCTTTCCACACATCTGAGATCGCACACGAGGGAGAAGCCGTTTTCCTGTCCTGAGTGTGGCAAATGTTTTTCACAGAAGTCCAGTCTTTACACACATCAGAGACTGCACATGAGGGAGAAGCCACTTTCCTGTCCAGAGTGAGGGAAATGTTCCTCACTGAAGCCCTGTCTTCCTGTACATCAGGGGTCCCACACAACCCTGGAGGTGTATTAGTGCCTTGAGTGCAGGAAATGTCTTGTAGATGAATGTTGCTGGACATCCCAGCTCTCAGGTGGGGAAGAAGCACACCCTGATATAGATGTAGCACCCTCCCTGGTAGTTCTGTGGCTCTTCTGTCATCGGCAGGGCACCCTGTGACTGCTTTTGGCTGCTCTGGGCTCTGCAGGCTGGAAGTTTGTCCTTTGGAGGCTTCCAGAATATAGTGGGTGGGGGAGTCAGATGAGCAGTTCCAGTCAATCCCTGGGGGAGGGTGCCCTGATGGTGGCTGTGAAGGCAGTGTTCTACTCCAGGAGGAGAGGTTCCCAGCCAGAAGGGCTCTCCAGCTGAAGATCCAGTCTATCCCATCGATGTCCATGCATAGCTGGGGGCTGATCTTGGAGCTCTACTGAGGAATAAGCCTGAGTCTGGAGGGGGACATCCGAGGCCTGAGGGTACTGTGGGTACAGACCTGACAGAGGGATCCTAGTGACTGTTGCTGCTGACCACCCCCTGTCCCAGTGTTGTCCCCGTCATGTCCTACTGCTCCAAGGACCGGGCTCAGAAGTAGCTGCCAAGGGAAGGGTGTCCTGACGTTCCCGGTCTGTGTCCTGAAGTATCCCACAGTTTCCCTGAGCCCCACCCACGCTGATCTGCCATAAACCTTTACAAGGCAACCTCAATCATGTTCTCTGAGCCGGAGGAGGGAATGTTGCTGTTTGCCTGGCTGCTGCTGCACTGATGGGAGACGACTCAGCGGCCCTCACGGGGGGTAAAGCTACGTACACCTCAGATGGACTCCATGGCTAAAGAAACCGTTCACAAGGAGATCAGAGGTCATCAAAGATGTGGATGAAGTGTGGGACCGGGTTGGATATTATTAAATGCCCGTAACTCAGGTCTGAGTCTTAGTGATTCAATGAATAAGAGCTCTAAGAAGAAGTCGGCTTTGTGTCAGTCTGGTGAGATCCTCCAGTGTCTCCCCCACAGCTGTAGTCAATGTGGCCAACCACCTGGTAGTCGGTCTCCCTCTTTGTCTGGTTCCTTTGATCTTCCCAAACATTATGTCCTTCTCCAGTGATCTCTCTTCTGACCGTGTGACCAGAGTAGGACAGTCGTGAGGCCATCATCTGGGCACACATAAACTTCTTCTCCAATACCAAAGCTCCAATCAGTCGACCTTCTTTCTGCCCCGTTCCCGTTGTGTCCAACTTTCACAGCCACAATGGACAACTGAGAAGATGAGCGTAATTCAGTGTCATTTCTGTGCCTCTGAAAACGTCGTCCGGAGTCCTCATTGTGTAGCTGCCAAGTGCTCTTCGGCTGAGTATTTCCACATGGCTGGGTTCTTCCTCATTTAGGAGGTTCAAATGTTCTACAACCTCGATTCCCTCACCACCAAGCTCAAAGTCCTTGCCATGTCCTGGATTCATGATTTTCCCCTTGTTTATATTCAGTCCTAATCCCATGTTACACCTTTTGGCCTCACCTCAAACTTGGCACTAGACCAGGGGTCTCCAGACTTTCTAAAGAGCCAGTTTACTGTCCTTCAGGCCTTGGGGGGGGGGGGGGGCGGTCTGTGGCCAGTGGGAGTAGAAAATGCCCCAACATCAGTGCCCGGTTATTGGATTTAATGGGAGAAATAGTGCTCCATTGATGGTGGTGTCAGTAGGAGAAATAGTGCCCCATTGATGGTGTCAGTAGGACGAACAGTGCCTCATTGATGGTTTCGGTAGGAGGAACAGTGCCCCATTGATGGTGTCGGTAGGAGGAACAGTGCCCCATTGATGGTGTCGGTAGGAGGAACAGTGCCCCATTGATGTTGTCGGTAGGAGGAACAGTGCCCCACTGATGGTGTCGGTAGGAGGAACAGTGCCCCATTGATGGTGTCGGTAGGAGGAACAGTGCCCCATTGATGGTGTCGGTAGGAGGAATAGTGCCCCATTGATGGTGTCGGTAGGAGGAATAGTGCCCAGTGATGGTGTCAGTAGGAGGAATAGTGTCCCATTGATGGTGTTAGTAAGAGGAATAGTGCCCCATTGATGGTGACAGTAGGAGGAACAGTGCCACAATGATGTTGTAAGTAGGAGGAACAGTGCCCCATTGATGGTGTCAGTAGGAGGAATAGTGCCCCATTGATGGTGTCGGTAGGAGGAATAGTGCCCAGTGATGGTGTCAGTAGGGGGAATAGTGTCCCATTGATGGTGGCAGTAAGAGGAATAGTGCCCCATTGATGGTGACAGTAGGAGGAATAGTGCCACAATGATGTTGTAAGTAGGAGGAGTAGTGCCCCATTGATGGCGTTGGTAGGAGGAATAGTGCCCCAATGATGGTGTCGGTAGGAGGAATAGTTCCCCATTGATGGTGTCAGTAGGAGGAACAGTGCCCCATTAATGGTGGTGTCAGTAGGAGGAACAGTGCCTCATTGATGGTGTCAGTAGGATGAATAGTGCCCCATTGATGGTGTCAGTAGGAGGAACAGTGCCCCAAGGGACAGATAAAGGCAAGCAAAGGGCCACATCTGGCCCCCGGGCCGCAGTTTGGAGACCGCTGCTCTAGATGGAGTCAGTAATTTACTGTTTTACAGAAAGTAGGTAAGAGTTAATAAAAATTCCCATAATACTGAGAGAAAAGAAAGAGATGCATCTTGGGAGCTCAGACTCCATCTCAGGAACTGGGAGAGAAGGAACCGGCGATCAGAGCCCATGTTGGACTAAACATTGCATCCTTTTTCATCACCTAAAGGCAGCATCGCTGGTGAGAATCACGTATCATCATCTATAGCCTAACTATTCATTGTGTTTTTCCGTATGTCCTTACATCAATTGTATGGATTTCTCATCTGTGTTCTCCTGATGGTTTCACCCTGTTTTTGTTAATAAAGTTTCAGTATTCCGTCCAGCCTGACTTATTGGGGAATAGGAGGGTTTAGCTGCATGTCGAGTTGCACCCAGAGAAACGTGTGGTGAGGACAGACCTTACCCCAAAGGGAACACAACTGTCTACTGTCACTGATTAGTGTGAGCTGGAGTTCTACAACAATATGTTAGTGTATCTAAATCTGCTAGTTTATCTAACACTCCCCTCCCCTAGACTGACAAGTCTGCTGTCTGCTATGCTCCCTATGCTCCTTTCTCCAGAGTGGGGGCACTCTAATATAGGAGGGGTGTTACTGGCCAGATCATCTGAAGCCAGATTTCTAAATCTGCTAGTCCATCTAACACTCCCCTCCCCCCCAGACTGACAAGTCTGCTATGCCCCCTGTGCTCCTTCCTCCAGAGTGTGGGCACTCTAATACAGGAGATTTGTGACTGGCTAGATCACCAGGTGAAAACAGGGAGAAAAAAGAAAATGAATGCAGCCGCTACATCTGATTGGTAAGATGCCATATGGGACATTTTTGGGGCAGGTTGTCTACAATTTGAGTTTTTTTTGGATTAGGCCAGGGGTAGTCAACCTGAGAGCCACAGGACTACAAGTTCCATCATGCCTCTGCAAGTCATAGCTGTAACTCAGTTTTGTAATCTTTTCAATGCCTCATGGGAAATGTAGTTCAACAACAGCTAGCGAGCCGCAGGTTGCCTACCCCTGGATGAGGCAGTTGGTTGCCCAGGCTGGGGAAAGGGTGAACTGTTAGCACTGCAGTTCCCGGGCTATTTGGTGTTGGACCGGCCTTCCTCGCTGTGTGCCACATAGATAGGGGGCGGGTCCAGTCCTGGGGGGGACCGCAAAGTCCATTGGGAGCTTAAGGAAGAAGAAATCTGAGAAACCCAAGAACCAGCACAGGATGCCGGTGTTCCGGAGGACTCTACCAGATATTGGGGATCGCCAGCTTTGGACTAGCACCTGTAAAGGTATGCCTGGGCAGCCACCTCCATTAGTACAGGTGTGACGCAACGCCTGTCACCCAGATTGGGAGATTCCGTCAGAGAACCGCTTCACCACCACTGGGACATAGGACCAAGGTATTAGAGCCGGGCATTGCACCCAAAACTGGACGAGACGTGCTTAGATGCCAAACTGGATCTGTCTATTGAACAGAAATATCGTTTTTATACCAGCGGTTCTCAACCTGTGGGTCGCGACCCCTTTGGGGGTCGAACAACCCTTTCACAGGGGCCTCCTAAGACCATTGGAAAACACATATTTCCGATGGTCTTAGGAACCGAGACACCGCTCCTCTATCATTCTCCAGGTGGGTCCGCCCACATGCAGATACGTCCACATTTCCCTGGACCGCGATGTGTGCGCAGGATGACATGCCGCCCCTGTCATCTGGCCACATCCCCAGGATCACTCAACAGCTCCGCCTCCGAACTGTAGCTCAGGAGAGGCACACAGGTGGCCAATCACCGGCGAGGAGGTGGAGCTTGGAGAGGAGGAGACGAGCAGCAGCGCAAAGATCAAAGATCGAGCGAGGGAGTGGCCGGAGAAGGAAGACAGCTGACAGGTAAGTGTCTGTAGCGTGCAGATGGTGCTGCTGAAGCCAGGTATGCTGGCTGTAGATGGGAGAGGGAGGGAGGGAGCGAGCCCAGGCTGGAGCAGGAGTCAGCAAGGTAAGTATCATTGGTGTCAGTGGGAGGAATAGTGCCCCATCATTGGTGTCACTAATACCAATGATGGGGCACTATTCCTCCCACTGACACCAATGATGGGGCACTATTTCCTCCCCCCCCCCCACTGACACCAACGATGGGGAACTATTCCTCCCCCCACTGACACCAACGATGGGGCACTATTCCTCCCCCC